CATATGGAGCCTAGTGTGATAATACACATCCCATTACAGTGTCATGTAGAGCCTAGTATGATAATACACATCCCATTACAGTGTCATATAGAGCCTAGTGTGATAATACATATCCTATTACAGTGTCATATTGAGCCTAGTATGATAATACACATCTCATTTCAGTGTCATATGGGGCCTAGTGTGATAATACACATCCCCTTACAGTGTCATATGGAGCCTAGTATGATAATACATATCCCATTACAGTGTCATATAAAGCCTAATATGATAATACACATGCCATTGCAGTGTCATATAGAGCCTAGTGTGATAATACATATCCCATTACAGTGTCATATAGAGCCTAGTATGATAATACATATCCCATTACAGTGTCATATAGAGCCTAGTGTAATAATACACATCCCATTACAGTGTCATTTAATACAGAGCAGTGCAGTTTCCAGTTATGGAACCAGGTAAATCTATGATTGATCTAGTAAAAAAAACACCCATAGAGAGTTTAACAGAAGACTACAAAGTATAAAAAAGCGAACTTTAGATATATTTCATTGACATTACTTATTTATCCTTTCAACCATTATATTTTTGCTTCTATAATTGATTTTTATCCTTTGGTAAATTTTCACTTAAGTGATCCATTAATTTTACATTTAATCAAAAAGTTTACAACCATTAGCATTTCTCTTTATTTATTTAATAGTGTCTTTTAGTTAACAATAACTCTCTTTCACAACATCCTTCTCTTTATATTGTTCGGTACCTTCTCTTTCATCCACAAGGTTTCCCTCTTTATTTAGTCGGTAATCTCTCCTTTAATCACAAGTTTTCCTCTTTATTTAGTCGGCAATCTATCTTTCATCCACAAGGGAAAGAGAAAGTACGGACTAAATAAAGAGGAAAACTTGAGTGTGAAAGAGAAGGTACAGACTAAATAAAGAGGAAAACTTGAGTGTGAAAGAGAAGGTACCTCCTAAATAAAGAGGAAAGTTGTGAGTGAAAGAGAAAATACCGACTAAATAAAGAGGAAAACTTGTGATTAAAAGATAGATTGCCGACTAAATAAAGATGGAAACCTTGTGGATGAAAGAGAGATTACCGACTAAATAAAGAAGAAAACTTGTGAGTGAAAGAGAAAGTACCTCCTAAATAAAGAGGAAACTTGTGAGTAAAAGATAGATTGCCGACTAAATAAAGAGGGAAACCTTGTGGATGAAAGATAGATTGCCGACTAAATAAAGAGGAAAACTTGTGATTAAAAGATAGATTGCCGACTAAATAAAGAGAAAAGTACCTCCTAAATAAAGAGGAAAGTTGTGAGTTTCTCTTTCACTCACAAGTTTTCCTCTTTATTTAGGGGTACTTTCTCTTTCACACTCAAGTTTTTCTTTATTTAGTCCGTACCTTCTCTTTCACTTACAAATTTCCCTCTATTTATTCGATAACTTCGCTTGCAATAACCAGCATTTTTGTTAAAGACATTTTACTGGGTAAATAGAAATGAATGTTAATAGTTTAAAAAATAAATATTAACTGAGATCTCTCTTTATTCAGCCATTAAACTCTTTTTTTAAACAATAACTATATATTTCATCGGTTCCTTATTACTTATTTGTTAACATTTTTTAACGTACTTTTTGTTTGTCTGTAACGCTTCTTTCAATTACCAGAGGCCCCCAGTGGCACAGCGGTATGTCTGCGGACTTACAACGCTAGAATACGGGTTTCGATACCAGCGGTGGGCAGAGCAGAGATCGCCCATTGTGTAGCTTTGTGCTTAATTACAAACAAACAATTACCAGAGTTGCTTTTTTCAATGAGCATATTCTGTTTTAATCACCATCCCCCTACTTTTTTTTAAGTTAAGGCTACACAATGGGCTATCTTTAAAAATAGCCGACGTTTTAAGTATAGCCATAAAAGTGGTGGACAATAATCAAGGAAAGACAGACATTTCTATTGTTTTCGTCATATTAAAGAAGAGTAAACAGCTTTGTCTTGTGGAAATCATTCTCAATATAATTTTTTTAAGTATTTTTATTCCCTGAAATAAAGCGAAAAACACTCTTTCTTGTTGCAATACGTTTGTGGGGCGAATTATCGCCGGAAACTTATCTCTTATGAACAGAAGTCCCACTGAGACTAGCTTCTATCATGAAGAAAAAAAATCAAAAACGAGGATAATTCTTTTTCTCCTACAGAAGTCAAACTTTTTTTGTACTGCTGTATCCTTAATAATAGACAAGTAACTATGTTAAATTTACTCTGTATATATTTCCTGAGAATTATTGGCGGGTGAAAACACAAAACTCATTATTTTCGCAAGAACAACATTATAAATATGTTATAGTATTTTGGCACTTGTGTATAAAGTTAAAACCATAAATAATATTCAACGTTAAACTGGTACACAATTCTTAATGGAAAATTATTTTCAAATTAAAAAGCTAGTCTTTTTCATAAAGAAAACAAGATGAGAAAACAACTCATAGTACAATCTAACAAATGTGCAATAATTCTTTACTTTTACTTTAATAAGAGAGTTTAGCGGAGAACTGTGTGCTTTTAAGTTGAAACCTATGTTTTGTTATATAAACGATAACATTCACACTAAACTACCCCAGTTTTAGATGAGATGAATTATTTGTTATAGATGCAAACACTGTATATCTACATCTACAGCCTTTCAGGTGATGATCAGTAGAAAACTTTGTTGTGGAGACGGTTGATATGGGTAATGTAAAACAAACTGAGATCGTGTCTTTTGACGACAATAATATGATACAAAGTTATAGGGAGCGTTTTATTTTTTAATTGAATGTTGTTAGAGGCCAAACAACAAAATAGGCTATCTGTGCTCTGCCCACCTTGGATATCGAAACCCAATTTCTAGCATTATAAGCCCCAAGACTTACCGCTGAGCTACTGGCAGGATGGGCGTTTTAATTAATCTAATTTGTATTTGTAACTTAACTTAGGTTCGTATGCTGTTAAACAGAAAGCTACACTATGAGCTATCTGTGCTCTGCCCACCGTGGGTATTAAAACCCGACTTTGAGAGTTTTTAGCACTCAGACTTATCGCTGAACCACCGTGGGACTTTTAATTTAGAGTTACAATATAAATAAAACTATATACTATCAGTGTGGTATAACCTGTTGTCCGGGTCGTTTTTTGTTTCAAACAAGTTCTTAATATTATTAAATGAAAGTTCCACGAATCTTTACTGAATAACTTTAGACTTAAAGGAACAAGAACGTGAGCTGCTAATCTTTATTTTGTTGGTTTGTGCATTTTAAACTAATCTGACAGAGAATTTCTTATAAATGTTCTCTCAAATTGTTAATATATATATCATACACTGAAAACGACTGTTCGTCA